TTGCGTTCTTATTCCAACTGTAATATTAATATGTTTCTGTTGTTGTTGTTGTTTGTTGTTTGTTTGTTTGGGGTTTTTTTTTGTTTTTGTAAACGGGCGTTCAAATTGAAGTTCAAAAAACGAATGTAGCAGAACCATCTACTTACAGTACTCGCACAGTTATAAAGTCTAGATACATGTACATAACTGCAAAGTGCTGGAAACCGGTACACTGTACAATACGGAAAGGTGCTGATAATGAATTTGGGTCGTTTTGACACGCATGCCACTCAGTTTATTGGTCTTAAGATCACATTTGTATATGGCAATATAATCAAAACTATAGGCACACTATTAGCTACCTTAGAATTACAACTATATATCTGCTCAGTGCCTACGTTTGAGAAAATTGACGCAAAAAATGTTTGAGTTTCACAAAATGTCAAGCTTTTTCTAATGCAGTTTTTTAAATATATTGATAACGACTCCAAATAGTTTTACGATTTTGATTGAGCCTGTTAAGCATTTGGTTTCCGGCCTCATGGTCTTAGTAACTCAAAACGGCCAAAATGCTAGATAGAACTTTGTAATTCTATTGTAACCACTACTGAGCCTTTGACGTTTGGTACAAATGCCACCAGAAGAGGTCAGTGCACTTCCAACTGTGACACTTAGCTGGGCGATAGATGTCGAGCAGACGACTTTGTAACAGAGTACACGGTTTGGTGCCTCTGGCCTATTTCAGTCCTGCTCAGCCACCTTCTCTGCATGGTTTTTTAAGTAATATGTGTACTTTCATTTGAGGTATGACTATTTATGTAATGCGTTGGGTTTTTTGTTTTTTGTTGTTTTTTGGTTTTTGTTTTGTTTTTTGCTTTTTGTCATATGTTTTTATCAGTCGAGGGAAAAGAAACGCAATATTAGGCTCAAAATGTTAATAATATGTAAGTCATTTTTAGATAATAATGGTGCTGTCTCTATCCCTTAATCTCTATGTCTGTCTCTGAATCTCTGTCTGTCTCTATCTCTGTCTGTCCGTCTGGCTGTCTGGCTGTCTGTCTGTCTGTCACTGTCTCTCTGTTTCTCTCTCTCTCTCTCTCTCTCTCTCTCTCTCTCTCTCTCTCTCTCTCTCTCTCTTCATAGTTCTAATGAATACAACCAGATAGATAGGATGTCTCCTCCAGGATCTATCCAGCGAGTTTGTGCGCAGTTCTTGAGGCTCAAACCTGGGAAGATTTCGGCTTGAGGAATTTCATTTTTTTTGTGTGGTACAAGTCTGGAGTTAAAGGAGATCGTATATTTGTGGCTGGCGTCTAATACAGGGTGCACACTGCCAATCGAATTCATTTGAATCAGTCCAGGGCCAATGAAGTCTTCCTTAATGGATGGGGCAAAAGCTGCCATGTTGGCATTGTTTAATCGAATTCGACAAAATTTGACTGTGACCGCGTTTATCAACGCTTTTATTTTTCAGCGTCACTAGTTGAATCGGTCGTGTTTTGTAGCAGTGGTATCTTCTGCCCCACCATGAAGGACAATGTGGCTGACCCCGACTGAACCGGATGAATTCGATTGACAGTGTTCACTAGGCATAAAGGTGCTGTAGCTTCAGTGACCTAAGCCAGGTCAATGTCCTGTGGGAGCTATTCATAATCTCTTCAGGCTGTCTTTCGTTCCAACTGTGTCGTCATATAACAAAAGAAGACACATGGAACTTTATTATTGCAGAATTAGAAGTTCAGTTTTGAATGAAGCAACATATGAGTCACTATTTAGATTTACTGTCTACTGTGAAACGAAGAAAACTGAAATAGCATGGCTATGTAACAAGATCGTGCAGCGTGTCCAAGACCATTCTTCGGGGAACTGTGTAGGGGAGGAGAAGGAGGGGAAGGAAAAGGAAGAGGAGGGCCGACAACACAGCGGAGTGGACAGGAAAACCCTTCGCCCAAACTCAGGCGCTCGCAAAAAACCGTGAAAAGTGGAGGCACCTGACGACACTCTCTGTCATACAGCGCCCGTACGATCCTCGTGGATTATAGGATCAATGAACAGTGAATCACAATAAAAGAAAGCATATGGGCGTCAAGCACTTAACCTCCTCTCAGGACAATATGTCATGTAGGAATTGTTCCTGGGGGTTTTAAGAGCGTTATTTCAGACATATCCCCTGGCCTGAATTCTTGCCTGGTGAATCAAGTTCTTATGCTATAAATAGCACCAAAGTAGCCCACATCCTTAGAGGAATTCAACGCCCAGCAAGTTTGAGAAAGTGCAGAAATACTGCAAGCAAGGGATCACCTACTTTATCCTGTCAAAGAGATCTATTAAACCATTCCTCACCCGTTTACCGTCTATTTCAGTAATCATGTGATATTTTTTTCTTACTCTTTGATATTTTTCTGTTATTTTACGCTGGTGTTTTCGAAAGCCATGAGTGCTTACGAATTGTTGTTTTCGGTGTGACAGTTCCTCAGCGTGCCTCTGTAAAGCAAACTAAAACACAGTCCTCCAGCAGAAACAAAAACAGTGCGATGACTGCTCATGTTAACGTGTCTTTTATTAAAATATGCATTCAGCAAAATCAGTTCCCAGATCCTTTTTTCAGCTGTCCAATTTGCAAACGTCAGAACAAAATGGCCTCGATTCAAATTTCAAATAATTATATACGTATTGCTAAATGTTTGATACATTTCAATACGGTAGGTTTACTTAACAGTCAGGACCTCCAACGTTAAGTCAGTCTCCAAATGCACACATGCAATAGCTCAAAAGAGTCCAAAAGCAATGTCAAGTTTGTAAAACAGTAGTTGTACCTGATGACCATAACAAAGGCGCTGTGAAAAAGACCAAAGCATAGTTGTCATGAATCGTCATGTTTGTTGATGCGTTTGTGTGGATGCCTAACAGAAAGAAATAGGTTGGTAAAAACTGGTTGTTTTCGTGTAGCAACTGACACTGTTTTTGGAACGCGGTTGTGTTATGGTGAGTTTTTGAACTTAGAATGTCTATGCTCTCCGTCGATAACATATCCACAAACTGTAAAAACATGTCTTGACCTTGTAGCACAGTTATACAATTATTAACCGAATACTAAAAGATAAGAAAGAATTTAATTTTTTTTAAATTATTGTCCTTTTTATACCTGCATTTTCTCCCTGCTTCTGAGTGTGAATCTTTCACTTGCAAATAAATAATACATACTGGGAATTAAATGTACTTAAATATGTTGTGAAGCAACTTTCGAGTTTAAAGCCCCTTTTCAACGCTGTTTAAATGTCCATAAAGAAAAATGTATAAAATATAAAGTACATACATAATGTACATTCCAATAATCTCTTACTTATTTACTTTCTTCATTATTCTCCCTCCCTTTTTTTTACTATGTCTCTGAATACACACACACACACACACATACACACACGCGCACACACACACACACACACACACACACACACACACATACACACACACACACACACACACACACACACATATATATATATATATATATATATATATATATATATATATATATATATATATATATATATACATACACACACACTTACAGACACAGACACATCTGTGTTTGCATGAAATGGTAGATTACTTCAGCCAGAAATGATCTTTTGTGACATTGTCGCTTTTGTAAAGATAATTATCCTGCCGCCGGTTGCCGAAGACTGACCCTAGGACTGCATGAGTCACTAAAAATGTTATCCTACTTTCCATTTGCAAGCTGTTTCCAAAATTTCTAAATCCTCCTGCACTGGGTCTGTAGCCTAATTTTAGTGATTAATCATCAATTTTCTTATCATTCGACCTTACATTCCAGTCCAAAACAATAAAACAGACATAAGAAAAAAGAAAAAAAAGGTAACGAAGCATAAGAAGCATTATCTTTTTAGAAAGATTAGTGTCGTGAAATAGAACAGATTCAAAACAAAATTAATATGGTATGAATTCCAAATAAAAAAAATTAAAAAGGAAAGATTTTTTAATATAAACTGCATAAGGTAAAGATATTTAAACAGATGGCCAGAATACGTAAAACAACTTTTTTTAAGGTAATAGATGAGATAAACGCAATAAAGAAAGAAATTAAGTGGGACAACAATTTGAAAAAAATAAGAAAATGAAGCAAGGGAAAGCTACATAGCCAGATAATATTCCTGTCAAAGTAATTGTCCCATAAAAAGAATTGCGGACTGAAATAGATCTTATATATGAAGTCTGTGACAGTGGCGAGATACCAGAAGCCGCATTAAATCCGTTTTTGTAGCTTTACTGTATCTTAATGACCAGGTGCCACAAAGTGCCAACAGCAAAGAACAATAAATCGCAATCCTCCTGCACAGAGTTTGCACTTTTACTTTAGCGATTAACCCTTTTCATATCGTGCGGCATTTTATTCCATTTCAATACAAAACAAAACAGCAAAGATTCATGATTAACATGTTACGATTCTGGAGTCACGGCAAAAGCAAGGACAATCCTTATCAACTGTTTGTCTTCCTGATAAGAAAAGGCTATAAAAAATAGATGCCATCAGTGTTGTCCTTGAAGACAGGTGAGTTTTTTTATATTTCACAGGTGAGTTTTTTAATATTTCACAACACTTGATTACTGAGAAAAAAATACATGTATATTTTTACCTGCACTTTGCAGAGAGTGTAAGACCAGGAGATTTTATGTTTGTTTGTTTGTTTGTTTGTTTGTTTGCTTTAATGGATGTGAGTGTGTATGTTGGGGTGGGGGGAGGAGGAGAGATAGAGGAGAGAAGGGGCAGAGAGCGAGAAATCCCAGGAAACAAGTCAATCTTTCTCTTGAACGTGTCCATCGGCACTTATAGTTTATCTAAAGGGAACATGTCCTCTTAATCTTAGTATGGAAATAGCTAAACCAAACTTACAAAGAAACAGAAACAAAAGGCATTTATAAAGTATGGGACGAAAGGAAGAAAATAAATCATTTATACTGTTTAGAGGTAGGTCTTACTTGTCAGAAATGGTTGATGA